CCTTACAAAAACATCACTTACACCTCTAAATTCCAACCATCTGGCGGTTGTAAGGTTGGCTGCGCAGACGCATGATTTTAGCGTTCTGCTTAGTTCTAACTTCGATTTCTTTTCCAAAATTTTCCTCTCACTCCCTGCATACAATTTCGGGTGTTTTATGCTTAATGGTTTATGTTTATATTTTCCAAATTGAACTATGATTAGAAGTTGCTGGTCGCATCAACTAAAAGCACGACATTTCATTATTATCTTGGACTAAATGGACAAAATTTCTTCCATTTTACATTTTACAGACTCCTAAAAATATCTTTAGTACTAAAGCTAAATACCCTTTCATAATGTGGCGTGTCCGTGCAAAACAAGCAAAAATAAAATTGTTCAAAAATTATTACTATGCGAAATAAAAGTTCAGTATAAAATTAAATAGACCGATAAGGCAGTAATTTTTTCAACTGTCAATAATATATATTAATAATAGGATAGGCAATTAAACTCTGGAAGCTTTGCATTCACTTTTGAGCCTAATGGTATTCACTATGTTTTTATTTCTGCCTTTTGGTTGAGCAGTTGTTATATCTTTGAAAATTGATGTCCAAGGTCACTAATTTTAAAAGCTTTCATTTGTATTAAATCAAATTAAATTAACGCAAATAGTAGCCTAAGGAAAGATGTCAAAATGTCTATTCTTATTGAAGTTCAAGTTTGTTTTGGCGAGCAGAATTTAGATACCTTTAGCAATCCAAAATTAAGTAAAGAAGTGAGATGTTTGAGGGAAATGCTAAAAAAGGAACTCTTCATTAATACACTTGTGTTAATAACTAAATAAATAGTTCATCCATTGTTTTCGGTAGAACAATTTTTTGTTAAAATGCAGCCAAAGAAAACGACAAATGTTCTCATAATAGGCCAATTAAATATAAATGAGGAGTATTTAATTGTCTTCCTCTTCAGAAATAAAGTCAACACTAAATGTAAGCCAGATTTACGCATTCATTAGATTGTGTGAAATTGAATAGAGGGGCAAGATTGTCAAAGAGGACATAAATACTGGCAACTTAACGCCACTTGCATCATGAATTTAAAATGGGTCAGTTTATTCTAATGTGGATCAACGTTTCAATTTTTTGTTTATCTTGACTTAATTATTCTCCTTTAATTATAACCTATTTAGTTGCTCAAACAATGCAAATCTTACAATTAAATTCTTCCAACAGTATTTTGGTATTTATTCATTTTTTCTGTGAATTTCAACCCAAAAATCATCAACTGGCATCAATGATTTCTTCTTATAAATCAAAAATTGATCCGTAGTGTCCTAAATTGCCAGGTGATAAGCGGGGTAACTAAAAATTCAGCTTCATACTAGTCTTGCGGTTTGGGAGCACAGCTGGTGATTAGTTCGTATTAATTGAGTTTAATTAATAAAGACAGTAGAATAATTTCAGTTTTAATTAAGATCAGTCATATTTAATAATTCTCTACCCAAAAAGAAGCATTAATTTGACATTTCATGGTAATTCACACAAAAGTTTAAAGCTACTATCTCCCCATTGTTCAAAGAGTAATGTTAGTGTTCTACCGCCGATTGAATAACATACAACCCACATGGTGCATATTGTGTTTATTGATTTTTACAACTTGACAGAGGCTAGACCAAACTCTCTTTTTGCGTATTCCAAGGGACATATTAATTTTTTTAGACTTATTCTTTATTGCTTAAATTAACAACCGGAGCTTCAAAATGTGGTAACTCAGTTTCATTAAGTTTAATATTTTTGCCTTTTATAAAATGTCTAATAAATGTGAGTGAATTAAATATATGGAAAATATGCCATATCTAGCACCATTGACTATTCTTTTAGGGAAATCTAAGATCAAAAGACTTTGACAAATGACAAGTGGAGCGGAAAACAATTTTTTGGAGGCAAACTGAACCACATAGGATTTAAAAGATTTTAAAGCTCCATGAATTCAAAGAAAATATTTTTGTAAAAGCAAAAAAAGGACTTTCGTATCAACAAAGGTAGACTTCAAGCTAAAGTTGCGAGGTTAAATGTGGGTTCGAATGACTACAGTTTTCTTCTTTAATAGACAAACTCGGCATATTTGAAGAAATTTTTTGCGTAAATGTATCTAAAGCCGTTATTGTTTTACTTTCTCTCAAAATCCACTTAATTTTAACAATGCACTGATTTCTATCACCTCTCCTTACGAAAATACCAAAACGAAGCCTTATTTGAAGCACAATCCAATGGCAGTTTGTTTATGAAGAATGCCGGATCTCGAATATTATTATTATTATATCAAATGACAGGCGTTTTAATTGTTATCTTTAGCCCTTTAGTTGACTTCAGTCTTCACAGGGGGGAAGGAACATCAGTGTAAAAAATTCAAGATGGGGGGGGACAGAAGTGTGTATTCGACTACTTACACAGTACTCACCTTACCTTTTTCTAACTTTTCCTACCTTTGTATTTGAAACACTTCTGTCCCCTCCCTCCCCTCTCGACTTTTTTCACTTTGATGTTCCTCCTGAAGTCAACTTAAGGGCTAATGATAACCATCAAGACGCCTGCCTTTTGATGTAGTGTGTTGCTCACGAGCTTAAACTTTAAATACGCTGGATTTCCTCCACCTGATTTGTTATGGCTAATTAAATAATTTAGAACAATATGATTTTGAGAGAACATAAATAAATTCTACTAAAGACCACTTTTTCCAAAGAAAATTTCCTCAATGAAGCAGCAGCAGGGCGGAAACTAGACCATTAAAAATTGTCTTCTTTATTAGCCTTAAATAATCAAAAGCAGACTAGGTCTATCATTTATCGTAGACCTGGTTTTTCGTTCGATATTTCGATATTTCCTTCTCCACTTTGTGAAGCCCAAAGTTAGCTAAAAGGCTGATGATAACTATTCTAAACGCCTGCCACTTGAAATAATAATAATATTTTAAGGATAAATCATTTTTGAACTTGAAAAGAACTAATCGACCTAAGTTTAGGTCTATTTATGGGATGGAAATTGGTCATGATTTTCATATTAATTTTCCTTTGAAGATTCTGGATTTAGCAAGATCTATTCCTCTACTTTTCGTCATTAATGAAGAGATTGAGGAAAATGATTACAAAATGAACAATGGGATTTAGTTCACAAACTCCCAATTAAATTCTTAAATGTTGTCTTAAACTATGAAACGGTCATTAACACTATTTCAAATACCTGAACAAAAATAATGCTCTACTTGAAACATTGTCACCAAAATACCCATGCTTACTTGCACTATAAGTTCTTTGTTACAAAAGAATAGAATGCAGTTTCTATTGCCCAACCACGTAATGCCTTCCACCCCTTTCTCACTTCTTTTCCAGTCTCTCGTCCGTTCGATGAAGATATCCCAAAGGCATTTTGATTCGCTGTAAGATAAGCAGGCCAAGTGTCTGCCCATTGGTGAAAGTAGTTTTATTGAGAGGGGATTGGGATTGAGCAGCTTCCCTTTGCTCAGTCGAGCGGAGTGGATGTCTGGCCTTATACTCAAGCAATTTTGCCCAAAATGTAAGTATATGTATTCAAGGTCATTTTTATCAAGGCTTAATTCAGTTTAGTATTAATTGCTGAATTAATTCGAGAAGAATTGCAAAATAAATACGTGGCAACTAATGATTTTTTTCCATAAAATTAAGTTAAGATATTAATTACATTATTATTTACTTTCTTTGTATTTTCGTGATATTTCAAATACGCCAATGGTTCTTTGGCTTTTCAAATGATCTCACGCATGTCAGATTTAATTAGAGAATTGAACTAGCTATTTTCACTATAATTTCTTGATTTGTAATAGAATGTATATGTAAAATCTTGGGCTTAATTAAACAGAAAATAACTCGAGCAAAGTCAAAGATCGTTATTTATTAAAAAAATATTTCATATCTGTCTTTGAACATTTTTCCATCAGTAGATCATAACCTTCAATTGCATTGAAAAAATCACTCTGTAATTAATTTATTGTAAAATCGCTTAATTTAAACAAATATTTCAAATGTAAATGTTATCCATTTGGCAATGACACCATTGAATTAAAATTGGCATTCAATGATCAAATAGAATTTTTAATTGACTCTATCTCATATCTTCATTCTTGTTAGCCATTTACCGATTTATGAAAAGAAATTTTAAACAAATTTCAATTTTTTATCAATAAAGCAAAGAATGTCCTTGAATAACTCTGGAAAAAACTGTGAATGCGCATAGTCTTTCCTTTTCGGTTAATAAGTTATTAACGAGCACAAATGCGAATATTCTGAATTGCACCGAGTTAATTGAAATTTAAACTCAAAACCAATCACCTCGGGCTAAGTTTTAGTTGCAAATTATGAAAAAAACCTTGTCCTATTCAAAGACAATAAAAAGAGTGAGGTTCATGATAAGTTGAAGTGACATAATAAGGTATCAAAAAAATTTTAAACTATTTAATCAGCATTACGATATGACTGACAACACCACATGATAATCTAAGCTTTTCTTTATACTGATAAAAGCCTATTTAAATTAAACATGAGCTAGTTTTTGCAACACATATTTGGAAACAAATAAAAAACTCTAATTAACATAAATTAAACCTTTCTTTCATCCAAATAAGTGCTTTCTTTTCTAATTTCAAATGAAAATATAGTTAATTCAAGTTATTGCTTTGCTTTCTCCCACAATAGTTAGTCATATTGAACAGCATTCGTAATATTAAAGTACTTGAAATTTAAAGACTTGCATGCAGATTCTCCAAGGAGCTATACTATCAATTAAAAAAATTGAAAAAATATAAGAATATATATATAATAAGTTCTAGATCTTCGGCCCATTTACTCACCTTACATAGAAAATATTGATTTTGACGAGGCTAGGCCCTATTCTACCAAATGAACATTTTGCGTCTTAAGAAATGCGATGATTACTTGTTAAAATTTTCAGAACTAAAAACCCAAAGACCTGCAAGATTTAATCAGTATGGTGTCGGTCAATATCCCAGGAATAATTGGAATAATCTGTTTCTACATCTTAATTCTCCTGGTGGGAATATGGGCAGCTCGAAAGTCAAAGAAGTCAACTTTCGCGGCCAGACATCCAAGACGCGCTAGCAGTGGCACGTCAGGTCAAGGCGAAATGACAGACTCGGAGGATGTCATGCTAGCTGGCAGAGATATTGGCCTCTTTGTGGGCATCTTTACAATGACTGGTAGGTGGGAAAGTTTTGTTTGTTCTAAAAATTTCCAAAAGTTCTCAACTGACTCATTCCAAAAAAAATGGAATTTATACAGACTCGATGTCCAAAATACTCTGTTTTATCGAAATAGGGGATCAACATAGTTATGAATACCTCCAAATCAAAATAATAAGAAATATTTTTGATAAAAATCAAGAGGTGTTTTGATTTTGGTTGATAATTAATATCACTTCGTCTTGATGAACTTCTCGGCCGTAGGAAAATTAGGCATTAGATTCCGTTTAAGTTTCCTTTTAAGTTTCCGTTGAAGAGAAACTTAAAGAAAAAATATTTTTATTTACAATATTTAAGCTTTCAAGCAATCAACTAATTGAAAATTGCCTAAAAGAGACTTGGAGAGAAGGCGCTTTTTTACCAGACTATATGGCAATGCATTTTGCCAAACATTGCTGTGGAACATAGGTGACCAGAAAAAGATGTTTCTAAGCCTAGCCTTTAGTTATCTTGAGATAAAAAAGTTAAACCTTTATCTGGTTTTATTTCTTTGAAACCAATGGAAACCTGCTTGATTTGAATATTCGAACCCACAATATCTTCGCCTTTACGTAACACTTCCTTGGCAGAAGTCAACTCCACTCTGTGAGAGCTACCAGGGTCATTTAGGATCATGGCTACTTCTCCGCCTTTGAAGTAGAAAGTCAATTGAAGTAAATTAATTTAAGCATTTTACCAACGATCCTGAGAAAGAATTGTGAAATGTGGATTTCGGAACCAAAAAAATTAATTACTCATTGAATTAATATTTTACAACTTGAATCCTAAAGCCCACCTGAGGAAACTTTTAGAATGCACTTCCTTTCCTATGATGAGGGATTTTAAATGTACCAAATATATTTGCTAGCACATTTTTCCTCTTCTTTACAACCGATTACTTTTACAAAACTTGGGAGAGTTATTCTCACTTATTCATTTTTTTCTTTCAAAATATCGCTAGCAATCGTATTACTACTACTTACTTTCATTGCGATTAAATTGATTCAACAAACAACGAGCTAAATATAAATTTTTCAAAACCTATTTTTCATATAATGAAACGCCGAACAAATCAACTCGTTGTGACCTATGTAGGTGGGCAGAAAAGTCATGCACTTCTCCACTATGTTACAATTGTAATACTAACTGTAAGATAAATGGGTCATAATTGTGAACGCTTTAATAGAATTTGCTCAAAGACCCTCCAAAATATATACGCTATATTGATTGGTCATTGCAATTGGTCAATTAGAAGGTCAGTGCATGTGATGATTTTGTTCCTGCCCAGCTCATATGATGACGAGCATGCAGCCACGCGTTTTAAGGAACTGCATTGGGAAGAAAACTCAATGACTGAGTATGATTTTTAAAAAAGCAGAAATTTATTTAAATTTTCATCCGTTTTGTTTAACAAGAGGCTTCAAATTCTTTTGACATTTGAAAATGAACGGTGGTAAATTAATTGGGCATTTTATTAATTAGCTACGTGGGTTGGTGGAGGCTACATCAACGGGACAGCAGAGAGTGTATATGACCCAGCCCAAGGCCTTCTTCTATGCCAAGCTCCTATTGGATATGCGCTTAGCTTAGTCATTGGTAAGTTGTTTTTCTTTATCTAAGCTCCAAAAACGTCCTAGTATAAAACTTTTTTTTTATAAGGTGGAATATTCTTCGCCAATAAAATGCGGTCATTTGGTTATGTGACAATGCTTGATCCCCTTCAAGCTAAATATGGTAGTCGAATGTGTGGCCTCCTGTTTATTCCTGCGTTAATGGGTGAAATCTTCTGGTCTGCCGCCATTCTCGCTGCTCTCGGTAAAGTTTATCTCTGTTCTACTTATATCAAATAGGTAATATGTTGTCTTCTCTAAGTATTTTGATAATTTTCAGGAGCTACAATTGCGGTTGTAATTGGGATCGATGGAACGATTTCCGTTATCGTATCAGCATGCATTGCACTGCTTTATACGTTATTTGGAGGGCTTTATGCTGTCGCGTACACCGATGTCGTTCAGCTCTTCTGCATATTCGTTGGTTTAGTAAGTCTCATTATTGATGGGATGATAATATTGTGATAGGTAAATCACCAATGATTTCATTTCTAATTCTCAGTGGCTGTCAATTCCTTTCGCAATAAATCATTCAGCCGTTCACTCGATTTCACTGAACTCAACTCGATGGATCGGCTCCATTCCAGCAAGTAATGCTGCTCTATACATCGATAATCTTCTGATGCTAATTCTCGGTGGAATTCCATGGCAAGTTTACTTTCAGGTATGATATTTTCTCAAGATTTTTCTTAATTTTTCGTTTTATTCTTACATATTTGTATTATTTTTTTAGAGGGTCCTTTCTGCTAGAACAGCCCGTGGTGCTCAAATTCTAAGCTATATGGCTTCATTGGGATGCCTACTAATGGCTCTGCCACCTATTTTGATTGGTGCTATAGCTGCAAGTACAGACTGGAACGCAACGAGCTATAAAGGCACTGAAGACAACTTAATACCTCCATCTGAACGAAAACTTGTGCTTCCTCTAGTTCTCCAATACCTCTGTCCTCCAGCTGTATCATTTATTGGACTTGGTGCAGTGTCGGCTGCCGTTATGTCTTCGGCGGATTCCTCTGTATTTTCTGCAGCCTCAATGTTTGCACACAACGTGGTGAAACCATTATTCCCCTCCGCTTCCGATCGTGTTATTATTATTGTTATGAGAGTGAGCATTTTCATTGTTGGTGCATTGGCCTGCTTCTTGGGAATTATGATCAAATCTGTCTATGAATTGTGGTTTATTTCTTCGGATCTTGTCTATGTCATTCTTTTCCCTCAACTTGTGTCCGTCTTATTCATTCCTTTTACCAATACTTATGGCTCACTTGCTGGATACCTAACCGGTAAGTGCTATTCATCTGAAGATCCTCAGGTATAAAGGATAATATTATATTTTCCTTTCAAGGCTTATTTTTGCGATTAACATGTGGAGAAAAGGCCTTCGGCTTACGTCCACTGTTCTATTACCCAGGATATGATTACGAAGAGGATATTCAAAGAGCACCTGTTAAGACAATTTCCATGTTGGGGAGTATAATTATGAGCACATTGGTATCCTATCTGATGCATCAACTTTGGAGGGCTGGAAAGCTAACAGGAAAGCGTGATTTTTTCAAGTGTATGGAAAGACAACCATCGATGTCTATTGTGGTACCTAGATCAATTGTGATCGAAGCAGAAGGTCTTGGACCTAGCGTGGACGTGTCCAATATGTCCATTACAAAGAAAGATTCAGAGGAGGCAAAGATTGTTGTCGGGGACTCTGTTGAAAAGACCGACGAAGGTGAAATCCTAATGACCAATAACACAGATACGAAGGCTTAACGTGGAAGAGATTTAGCCATAAGTAGCTTAGAACTTCTCCCCACTCTCTCTCTCTCTCTCTCTCTGTCCTCGCTCTTCTCTCCACTTCATCTTCCCTCTTTTACTTCTACGGTTGTGAATTAAAATTAGTTGGTTAGTGAGTTACACCGGTTGTGATCAGATTTTTAGATTTCCACAATTGTTATTATTCTATTTCTCCATTTTGTGCGTAATATAACATTATTTGATTCAATAAAGCAATTTGTTGTCCAATAGTAAATTTTATAATATCTGAAATTTCCGCAATCTCTCAGAAATAGTTAAGTGCCTTTCGTATGAAACAATAATAAATGAGGATAGATTTTAAGGACACATGAGGGGGGAATGCCACACCACAGTGTCGCGAACAAGGACCAATAGGCCTGGGACAGAAAACTTTGGGGCACATTTTAAACTTCCCTTGAAAAGGCGAATTTCATTGATGATATTCGAAAACTGAGAAATAATCATTCGCCGTCTTATAACTCGATTGCTTACATGAGGTTCCAGTTCGATTAATGAACATACTTCTAATATTGATCTCGTGAATTTCGGAAACTGTCATTCTAACTTCAATTTAAAATTGTTTATCCTATGGGAAGATGTCTGAATAAGTGGAAAAATCCGTTACGGCAATAAGATGTATAATTAAAAGTATTTTATTAGATAAAAATCATGCTGTCGTTCTTGCGTTTGCTTGAAATATTTTTCGTCCCTAAAACAGGTGAAAATTTTGATCAGGCATTTATGCTCCTTTCTTTTCAATACTTCTGAAAGCATCTGGAAAAAGCTAAGGCCACGAAGATTACAAAACTGTAGTTGTGGATGCTCGGATCTCGATCTCTACCTCATTCCTCCCCCACCCCAATTTTCCTATTTCTATTTTCTATTGACGTTGCAGAAAACAACTTGGCTTCCTCATCACTCTTGGTTTTCGGAATTCAAAAGAAGCGTTGGCTGTTGTCTGTGATGACCTTACCGTCACACATAAGTCCATCTGATAATGCATATCTTAACATTGGCATGCTTTTACAACAACGCCCACTGCCATTTATTCACTTTGAAATAAGCTATTATAAAGCATGAAGTTATAAGTTTGTTGGTTATTTTCTCCCAAAATTCTGATAGCAATTAGTTGCTTTTAAGACCTATTAATATTAACAAGTTATCAGGTTGGAAGCATCATAATAGGCACTTGAAATTAGTTTAGGATATCCTACGGAGTTCACATTAAGGAAGTCGTCGACTTGGAAATATTCATATTCACTCCTTGAAGCCTTTCGGTTGTTGAATGAATGTTTGATAGAGGAAGAGGCCTGTTCAGATGTAGACAAAGAGGCAAGAAGACAAAATTGGAATTAAAAGATTGCAATAAAATTTCAGGGACGAATAAAGCAATACAAGAGGGAAAGAATGTATTTCTGATTTTTCAGAGATTTCTTACCATAAGTGAGCAGGGTTCGTCTATGATTTAGGTTAAATAACTTTACATCAAATAGCATGCGTTTTGTTCTTTACCATTAGCCCCTTAGTTGACTTCGGGCTTTTCAGGGGGAAGGAACATCAAAGTGAGAAAGAGTGGAGAGGGGGAACAGAAGAGTAACTCAAAGATGTAAAAGTGACAGACAGACACAAAGGCAGAGAAAAGGTAAGATGAGTACTGAGGAAGGGGTCGAATATGACATACAGTTGGGTCACGGTGGTTTGAAGTCAGAAGTCAACTGCCAGTTTATAGACTTTTGCCATATGAGTATACGTTGCCCGAGATGCACCACATGGAGGTAAGTCTATCGCACACCCCGGTTAAATAACTTAAAAGCATTGAAATTTTGCAAAATTATTTATATTTTTCTAAGTGGAAATTTACTTTTATTACTAATAAAACTAATATAAGATCTTAAAGCGTTATTTCACAAAATGAAAAAAAGACAGTAAGAAACACTGATTAAATGGTAATTTATTTGGCCAAGGATGCGTGATATTCTTTGGTACTGATGAAAGCTTCAAATGGAATTATATTCACTTTTTAATAGGATATTTAGAATAGGAATTGATTTTATTTCTTTGATAGAATTTCAAATATCACCAAGAATGAAAATTTATGGAGCAGATTAAAACGATAAATCTACAAACTTCAACTTCTATAATCTCCTTATAAATGGCATGTCTTAAGAAACAGAAATACATCTGTGGGACACGTCATAGCTTAACACGTCATCGCATGCCTGCACGCCAGGATTGGGAGGTGCGACCATACAAACAGTGACCAATCATTGACCTCTATTTAACCTAATCTGCCATCCTGATCATGATTAAGCTTCCTGCGTGTACACTTTAGCCGCGATATACGTACTGAATAAACGTGCTCCGTGCTACACGTCTGTTTCCTTTATAACTTTGTGTTAGCTTAGCTAATTCCCGGGGACTTTCGAGTTGGAAGAAACTGCTATAGAGCTTTCTGCGAATAGTCAAGGTTATTGAGGTAGCTAATCCGCTACACATCTAACGGCACATTTGTGCCATATAAACATTGATATATAAACAATTTCTTACAAAATATTAAACCTCTTCCTGCTTACAATATATTGTGTAGACCTAATTTGAAAAAAAACAAATAAATTTCATTGCCTAAAAGCGGAGGCTGCACAAATCACTTTCCATTAAACTAATGCTTCAATTTGGCCTCGAAAAAGTATAATTTTGGGTCACTAAAGTCAACTGAAGAGACTTATTGTTAAGAGAGGTAAAAGAGGTCTTGTATCAGGAATATTATTGCGTTGCGCTTAAAATTAAGATATGCTATTTAAACATACGCATATCTTGTCGTAAGAGAAGCTTTAGAAGACTTCATCGATTCACTTATTTGTAGAGTTAGATCCCGTATTTTTGCAATTAGAGAACACAAGTATAGTGGAGATTTATAGCCAAAAATGAATTCGTTTAGAAGCAATTAAAGCATTTGAACAATAAAAATGTAACTTTCTAAAAAAGATTCTATCACAACGGGTGCTACTTTTAAATAGTGCTTCCTGTAAAATGAAGTAACTGACCCAAATTCAAACCCTAATTTCAATAGTTTTCTTGCAAACAGTAGAATCTAGAAAAGCTTAGGAAATCGATAATCCCACTTCACTTAATTTTGAATTCATCTTGAATTATAGAAACTCAATTGACACTTCACACTTTAAAATACAAATCGGTAGCCCAAGGGGTTCGGGGTTTATTGTTTGGTATTAATATTTAATCAAATAGGATTGGTCTTGCTAATTCGCCTCAATTTATTTTAAATTTCTAAGTAAGCCTTAATCTTTGTCATAGTGGGGTGTGCGATAGACTTACCTCCACGTGGTGTACCCTGGGCAACGTATGTTCATACGGCAAAAGTCTATTAATTGGCAGTTGACTTCTGACTTCAAACTACCATCACCCCACTGTGTGTCATATTCGACTACTTCCACAGTGCTCACCTCACATTTTTTCTACCATTGGGTCTGTTTCTTTTGCATCTTTGAATCACTCTTCTACCCCCCCCCCCTCCCTACTGACTTTTTCACTTTGATGTTCCTCCTCCTCTCTATGAGGCCTGAAGTCAACTAAAGGGTTAATGCCAACTATCGAAACGCCAGCCATTTGATATAACTAAATAAATTAGTCTTTGTAGTAGCTATCTGAATTACTCACATGAATTGAGAATCACTTATGAATGCTGTTCATGACACAAAATCAATAATTTCAGGTTAGTCATATAGAATTTTAATCTACACCAAATCTGGCCCAGGAATGAGAAGTTTTAGTGCAGCCTGATTTCAGGAATAATAGTAGTTATGAATAGAAATATCCGCCATAATTTTCAACGCATAGTAGTACAGTTTACTCCATGAAAATTGACTGGTACTTTATAGGCGGTATCTCATATTTATGGTCTTGGTAGAAACCATGGACCACGGAGTATTGGGACCCCATACACAGTCATTAAATTTATTAAGCACCTTTGTTTTATAAGTTCAATTTTTATTTCATTTTGAGAAATCTTGCTCAGGTAATATGACAAGAATTTTGTGTCATTAAACAAGTGGACATAACCCAATTGCAGATTCGAGTTTCGAATTTGTTTCATAAATGGTGCGGTTACCTTTTCAAGTGTTTTTGAGGTGTTTCAAGCCTTCTGCCGATAAGTCACTCAGGCTTATACCTCCATAGATAGTTCATAAATAATAGAATTCCTGTTCAATCAATATGCTACCGTAATCTCCGACCCTGAATTTTGCCCTTCATGGTTCCTTTTTAAAATAATGATAAATTTTAATTATAATATAAATATTAATTATCAGTATTCTAGTAATAATAAAATAATATTTGGAATTATTGCTTGCTAGGAACAAATAATGGTCATCATTTCACATATTCAATATTGTTAATCCTTTCATTACATGGTGGCCCACTGTAAGAGCTGTGGGTAGCACAACTCTGATAAGGCTAAACGAAGGTATCTTTTGCACCCTCGAACATGCTAGAACACGGATCGTAATGCTGATTGCATTAGGACTAAAATGAGGTCACGAGTGCAGTGTCCTCCCAGCCAATCAGCAACCAATATTCATGGATTGGTCAGCGTAGCCTCAATTGTAGTTAATGCCTACACTCCAAGTCAGCAACACGGACAAAATAAACGTGTTCACGCCATTCGTTAGTTTCTCCAATATCCCTGAGGTAACTTGACTAATTTTGAGAGCCTCTCCAAATTAGGGGACCTCAACATTGAGGTTATTGAACTTAAGCCAAAGCTTGTTATTGTAACTATTCGCTACTGCCAGCAAAGCTGCTTTATACCAGCGAATTGCCTTACGGATAAAGCGTTTTACATTTGTATTTAATTTTGCCATTTGAATCTTCATTGTTTTTCAGCCTTTAGAATTATCAGATTTGGGCAAAAAATTTAACCTTCCATGAAACCTGCATGAAGACCGAAACCTATGAATTTACTTTGAAGATTCATTTATCCCATTAGACCAGATTTTGAGCCACCTATTACATTACACAATATTCGTGCATTAATTCCTGTTTCCTCTATTTTGAGCAATTTGTAATTTAATTTGTCTTATAACTCAATTAAATATATATTTATTTGCTATAAAACAAGTACAACCTCTATACATTCTTAACACTCACACTTAGCAAATAATATCTCTCTTCGTAAATGGTAATCAGTTGCAATATTTTGTGGAGAACACAAAGCCCACAAGAACATTATTGAATGTGCGTCAAGCTACTGACTCGCATCCATCCGAATGCGCCGTGCTGCTGATCGCGTTAGGACGCATGTGGGGTCGTGAGCACAGAGACCATTCAGCCAATCAACAATCAATTGTTAGCCGTGGTCAACATAGCCTCAATAGTAGTTAATGTCTAAACCCCATGGGAGCGACATAACCCAAGTGAACGTATTCCACGTCACGCTTTCTGTTTCCTCTTAACGTTGAGGTAGTTAAGCTAACTTAGGAAGCCTTTGCATATTAGAGGGTCATGCCAAAGAGAGTGCTGGGGATAAATTAGGGCTTACTACTCCAGAAATCCCCCTTAAGTCGGCTCCTCATAAAGTACCGCAAGGCAAGGAAATATTTTATCGAAAGTACAGAAGGTTAGACAAACAAATAATTTCATTTTCCCCATTTAGCAATTGGTTTTTATTCATTTAGCTTTAGATCTTCTTATATCCGTTGGGAAAATTATTGCGACAGAAGAAAAATTAAAAAAAATCATGTGACTTCTTAAAACTAAATTTATGAGAGAGAATTTTTCAAAGTAACTTTCTAAATTATATACAATAAAGATTTAATGAAACTGCAAATGAATACTTCTTCTCTTTGAGATCACAACCCGTATTCAATTAGTCTGTCCATTTTCGTTTCAACTCTCAGTTCCACGTCCCCGCCCCCAACCTCCCTGCACTTTTCTTTTCAATTGTTGTCCAATATAAAGGTGGCTTCACCCAAATCGTAATTTTCTCAATTACGATTGGCTAGTTTCGTGATAGGTCATGTAACTAAATTTGCTCAGACTACTGAATTAACCTTTCTAGCGGAAGCAATACCATTGCAATAAAACTTAGAAAAATTTCTGACCCAAAGAGCTGCTAGGTATAGCAGGCCCCAATTGTCAACTAACCGTTGGGAGTGATGGAGATTAAATAAGATTTGGTAACAGCACCTCACTCAGGCAATCTAGATGTACAAAACAGATTCAAAGATTATCTAAGAGACATCTGTTATTGTCAAACACTGACTTCGTGGGAAAAAGTGACTATGAGCTTTCACATGTTAATATCCATTTATATTAAATGACAGGCTTTATGATGTGTGCGATAGACTTGCTTCCACGTGGTGCACCCTGAGCAACGTAGGATCATACGTCAAAAAGCCTGTCGTTTGATATGAATGATAGTAAGCATTAGACCTTTATTTGACTTCGGGCTTCAAACAGAGGGGAGAAACATCAAAGTGACAAAAACGTATAGAGGGAGAACGGAAGAGTGACACACAGATGTGAAAGAGACAGAGAGACACAAAGGTAGAGAAAAAGGAAAAGTGAGTGCTTTGGAAATGGTGGAGTATGACATACAGTCATATCATAGTAATTTGAAGTCAACTGCCGGTTTATATACCTTTATTCTTTATGAGTATACGTTGCCCAGGGTGTACCAAGTGGAGTAAGTCCATAACGCACCCCTGTTTGCTGATACAGTAATAGACCGTTTCATCTGTGTTGATTTATTATGTGAGTCACTACAAGTTGGTTTCTCAAGCACAGTCTGCAAAAGCATTGTGAGAACATTTATGCACATTCTTGAGGCAACCCCAGAATGGGCTTGATAACTCAATTTTGCTGGGGATATATGATAAATAACCTAATTCGAATACTCCCCTAATATCTGGTTTTGTTTCAATCGTTTACTCCCCCTGAACAATTTGTACCACTGCGGCTTAGGGAAGGATAAATGAATCATTCTTTTCCATATTTATTCTCTTTACCAGCCACATAGAACGCATTAATAGGCAATGTCCTAAAAGTCCATCGAGAAATTCAAAGTTTTTTTGAAAAATGGCCTCCTAAATCTCCCATCTGGTTCTGAATATTCGATTAATACTGATGCGAACCACCAAATGCAATTTTTTGATGCCTTTTATCAGAACGCAGAATACGGCGTAGGTATTAAATTCTAGCATATCTAACCCAAACGGATAAAACATTGAACAGTATAGCGAACGAGCCAATGCGAAAATAGAACAGTCCTACATTTCCCCAAATTTACGAATGAGACGTTAGGTGCAGAAGTTTTCTATTTATAAATAAGTTGGGTGGTGGTTATAATTAGTAGCTGCAAAGCAATAAATCTAAATCTCACGCAAATTACATCCCTTTTTATGCAGTGAAAGTACGCATTCCATGTTGAGTTGGAAATGAAATCAAAATCTGATCTTAGCCGAGAGAATTCAAGCAATAAAGCAACAGGATGGTCAAATGTTGTTTTATTTTGGCTAAGAAATGGAGTATGGAATGAGAAGTTTACGTAAGAATTGGCATACTTGCATCAAATATTTTTCAAATATTTACAGAAGTCTCGTGGTGCGATTGTACTTAAGATAGACCGCTAGTTAGTGTTGAATGGTGAGCGTTCCAATATTGAAAATAGAAAATCCGCACTCCTTCGTATCTGGGAGCACAGAGTTACATTGCCTAAGGAGTATGATGAATGCCACAGTGTATCAGCTGATGTGAAGCAGGCTGATGAATGCTCAATCGAAACTGAAGACATTCTCAACAAGTGCCTTTTAGTATATTGAATGGCAGCATTCATAACAATGCTCATTTTGAATGAAGATCGAGTATAGTCCAAACTCAAAGGCAGTTGTTGGGAATCTCTTCAGCTGTTTACAACCCATGTGGATTAATGAGAGTCTGTACCAACTAAAAGCTTTGTCTTAATATGCGATTCAAGATGATCCTGAGAAAAATAAGGTACTGTTTTGTCAAAGAATGAAAGGTTGACATGTCAACATAGACCACGATGTGCAGTAATCACTAGCCTTTGCGAACCTGGTGTGACCTCGATTCGTGCATGAGCCTCGACTGAGTGAGGGATTGTAAAACAATTACAATATTTCCATATTGCGGTGTCACCAGGAAGGGGCAGTGGGGAACAAATAGACTCCAGTGACATTGAGACAAGTAGATTAGACAAAACCGAGTCCTATATTTCCAATGACAGTCCTAGTAACAACGGTAATAAACGGTGTAGTCAATTAGGAATCAGATTAAACTTTACAATGCTTTTCGTACCAGACATTTAAGTTGTTTCCTCCAGAGCCTGAAACATATACGAAATTATTAAATAATTCTTAAAATAAGCTATTTATAGGCACCATTAATGATCCTCTACCAAGGTTTACAAAACGATTGAAAAATTCTAAAAAAACACTAATTCCGTAACAGCGCACAAATTACCATTCTTCCCACCTCCCCCCCCCCATTCACCACCACTCACAAGGAAGAAGTCAATGGTGCAGAAGGAAAATGGTTCATAATGGCGATACCCATACAATCTCTGCATAGAACCAAGTAAGCGGAGAATTATTAACAGTGGGATGAAATAGCGGGTAAAAGTTAAAGATAGCATCACACACTACTCGTGACTGCCTAATCCCGGATCCTGGCCTGAGGTGACATCACCTCGGTCAACGTTGGAGCTGGAGGCAGAGGTCCCTGCAACAGCTTTGTTTTTTCCAATCTTAGCTCCAGGTTTGCGACCTCCCTTCTTGCCCATGTTCCTTTTGGTTTCTAGCAGGACCTGGGCTCTCTCTGCTGCTGCAGCTCTTGAGGCTTCTTTCGCTAAAAAGATCAATGATCGACGAATAACTAGTCAGTATCACGATTTAATAAAAAAACCCAAAAGTATTAAGAATAGAGCCATAGCAGTTTCAATAAGCAGTGATACCCGTAAGGTGAAGCATGTCACCTACCAGGGCTTAAATCTGGTTCAAAACTCCTAATTGTCACTTGAAAATAAAGGCAATAAGACTGACATTTTACGACAATGCTTAGGATGTAAGACAAAACCGGGTTGAAGACTCTCAGAAGTCTAAACTTAGGAGTAGACGCTTGGTAAGCTATGAAAAGTCTGCAAAACCACTGTTACAGTAAATAAAAGCACCTAAAATTACGGCTTTGAAAATTTACGCAAAAGTCGAAATAGACAAGCATACGTGAAAAAAACCCAACGTATACACAGAAGGAAAGAAAATTGCATCACAATTAAATCTTATAGGAAGTTTCGCAGGAAAGCAATACCCTTTAGGAAACAACAGATTGAGCCATTACAACAATATAACTTCAAGTTGACCACATTTAAATCAAACAATTATTAAAATTTTGGAGCTCAATCACGATAATGTAAAGCTCAGTACTAACCTATCTCAAGGAGAGTTCCAGCAAACTTGCAAAGTTAATTTAAAGAAGCTTGAACATGAAAAGGAAGACTCCCCTTAGCCCTCCCGCTAAATCAAAGTGTACAAAGCAATTCATTACATAATACCACTGGAAAAATTAATATTTCTTCATGAAAAAAACCACAATCCTTAATGCTTGCCATCTGTTAGATTTGTTCCATTCATATGAATTGAAGAAACCATTTTCACCGGAGAGAAGTGTCTACAACACTGTCAATTAAGCTAGACCCTTCACAAGCCCAATTAACAAACTAGTTCATTAATAACAAGAAACTTGATCAAAGAAATTCGTGGTCGCAAAAGTAAAGACATCGAGGTGGTTCCGCATAGTAATTATTTCAAGGAAGACATCCCGAAATCTGAGAGCACTGAAGAACTGCCTCTCATGATACGAAAAATGAATTACAATAAATAGCAAAAGGTATTAAAGAAGTAAGGAACTTCATTTGAAGATATTTATCAGCAGTCTAAAGAGTAGAACTGACCAATACTCCAGAGACGCAAAATCAATGAAGTAATATACTGTATGCAGTGCTCACCTTTCTTTTCTTCCTGAAGTATTCGCTCCTTTTCCTCTCGGTCTCTTCGAACAAGTTGAAGTCGCATAAAATCCCTTTCCAATTCCATTTTTGATTTATTGGCAAGTGGATCCTTAAGCGCTTCGCTACAAAATAAGTAAATAGCAGAGTTATTGTAAACGTTCCCCCCCCCCCCCCCCTTTCTACTGTAGGGTTTGAATGAAAGCCATACCGTTCTTTACGGTTCAAAGGCGCATCGTCCCGATTCAGAGGAAGACCTGTTCGGTTAGGATTGTGAGTTTTAATGAGGTGTGAAACGCCACACGGTTTAGCCTCCTTAACGGGGAGAGAGTCGTCACTATCTGATTCACTCTCACTTTCTTCGCTTTCTCCAATTATCGGAACCGGTACAGCCTAAATGGGTAAAATATATATTCCACAGCAAAATTATTAAATGTGTGCAGTGATATTTTCGCAAATACCTAGCATTCTTTCCCCGTGGAGAGGACAACAATATTTATTTAAAAAATAGTACCGACACCATTTCAGTAAAAGAGCAAAACATTCGCAAAGCAAAAGCTTTGAAAACTCACCCAATTTTCATAAAACTAAAAGTTTAGTGGGGCAAATAAAAATGGTGGACTTAAAGCGTTAGGGTCACATACACGAGTAAGGTTATTCGAGACGCAGGAAATTTAATCGCGAGCAAATATTTATTGACATAAGTTAATAATTTAACTAAACTCCACAAATTGAACGAACGCAAAATGGGTGAAAGTGATAACTATTACACTTAGTAGACCATAGTTAAAGCTAACTTGACGCAATTGCATCTTACCACTTTCTAATATTATTGTGATCAAGTTTTTTAAAAACTAATGTTCAGGGGCAACTCAAGCCATCAACTATGTAGACTGAATGTCAACGTTTAAATATCGGAGAAGGCGACTGGTAATATGTGACATGACTGGTAATAGCGCACAAAAATCAGGTCACAAGATAACACGCATAGACTAAGCCACACGTTAGGATATCGTGCCGATTACAGAGGTTCAAGTATATTGAGGAAAGAGGGAATCCACTTCTACCCAAATCCTCTCAAAGGGCTCTTTTCAAGAAAAATAGAGGTGAACATCTTGCATACGACACATATAAACTCAACGCAATTAAATTTATTGTATCCGAAGCAGCAAAGCACTCATCTAGCAATGTAGGGGTTACGAGGTCTTGACCAATTGGTGAATAGGGTTAACCTCACACGGCTAAATTCGATCTAATAAACAAAGAATACGACCTCCAAATGCCTATGCGTAATACCATCTTTGGAGAAGAAATATCTTCAATTGGTATGAAAATCCCCAATATACAACATAATTGCATGGATTGCAGGATAAATGCTAAAATGAAAGTACACACAGAATGACCATCTAGATTCAATGGAACAGCTCAGTAAGTGTAAGGAGGATCATTAACACCTCGGCCATATATTCTCCACTTTATAAATTAACAATACCAATAACAATAAACTTGTAATAAAACATGTGAGGAATCTTGGGATTGTAAAACCAGAAAATAATGCAAATATTCCCTCTTGGAATAAACAGTTAGCATAGGTCTTACTTAAATGCCTTCAAAGTGACAATCTAACCGAATGCAACGCTTTCAAATGGCTATGCGATGGTGTTCACAATTCAAAACTTCAGACATACATAAACAGTCGGTATTATTACTGAAATCTTATTCGATAGTCTACCAGTCCCGTAAAAGCTATTATAGATGGTTATACTCTCATCATACATTTATTAAGTTTGGTCAAAGCAAAACATTTCCAAACAGGATTAATCAATTGATCCTCTGCCTGGATATTATCTCCTAGATTGGATACAAAATCGCGAAAAATTCAAGTACCCCCATTCTCTAGAGTCTAGATCTTCGTGAAATTACAAAATAAAGAAATCAAACCGTAAATTGACTTTTAAAGGACTACACATCATGACAGTCATGCGCTCACCTGATTAAATTTAAAGTTTCATTCAATGAAAAATTTGAAATCTTGAAGTTGAATATCATTTGGCAGGTTTTAAGAAACGAATCAACAATGAATTTAATCAATTTTGCTCAAATACAAAGGTTGGGAAATAGTACTTCCGCCTTACAAAAACGAACTGGCGAAAAATGCGTATACCAAATCTGAAGTTACATTTAGAATAAACAAATAATTGAATGGTAACGGAGTATTAAATGGTAAATCAAAAACCTCAGGATGTTTACACAACCCGAAAACACATTCTGGAATGTACTGGTCACGTAATTGGTTAAATGCCGAAAGCATCTCAGACGCAAAAAGAAAGAACATTATGAAACCAGAAAAACGATACCTGAGCGGTTTTTTCGTTCTTGGCCAAAAAAATTAATAATAACCAAATCTTGCCCTCATTTCGAAACAATAGGGGTACTGAAAGCAATGCACTAATGACAATCCTCCCACAATAAGACCTAAGTTAAAAAGGAAACAAAACGACAAACAGACAATTAGGACCAACCACTAAACTGTTCTTATAAGAGGAAAGCATTTTTACTTTTAATCAATAAATATGACAGATATACAAACCAATATTAAGTAAAATGGGAAAAAAAGTTATTTGAGAAATAATTTTAGTGTCAAACATTGTTAAGGCAATCGCCTTGAAGAAAGCAAACAAAAGAACAAAGTACGAAAATGTATCCAGCAAGTCAATCAAAAAATATAGGGTAAAAACAGTGCATAGATTATTTTGGGAATGAGGCCCAATTATAACGACTAACTATTGAGCGATTACAAAACCAAACAATCTAAGTTTACCAGGACGTAGCTGCGTAAAACTTCCACTCCAAATAAATAAACAGGAAAATCACACTGTTATTATGTAAAAAGATTGAATACAAAAGCAAAACAATGGAAATTAAATCAAGGACAAAATTTAATTCTAAGATTCACAAAATAAATATAAATAAATATAATACGTTATATTCTGCTAAGCGTGCATATTCTTTGCCGGAATTAAGAGGTTCAAATTGACTCTATATAAAAATGTTGAAACAAGGTGTCATGGTAACGATCATTTGACGTAATATATACTGCAAGGGCTCAGAAAATTATGGACAAATACATACACAATAAATCAGCAAAACGAAAGTATTAGATCAGATTACCTCATCGTCAAGATTTTGATCATCTGGATAAAAACAACGTCCCCCACCGCGTCTTGCATTCTTTTTGTCTAAAAAATATAAGACACGATACGATTTGCGATCGTATAGAGAAACGTAAATTGTACAGAAAGTCGTCAAAAAATAGAAGAAATGCCCTGACTTACTTCCCATTATGATAGACCGCTATTAAGTGAAAAAATGAAGGAAGGCGCATCAATTCAAGATTTGCACGTTAATCTGGCAAATTAAAACACTTGGTTAGAAATTGTAATTGATGTTTACGAATTTTAAGGTATATTAAAAAGTTAAAAATTTCAATTTAATATCGATATTTGGTAAATTTACAGTTGAAAAGTAAATAAAAGTTTGATTTACTTTCATTTACAAGTATAAAATCTTGCAAGAATCATTAAAATTATTGCACAATCAAAGGCACATTACTATAATTTCGACTTCCAAATATACCCTTTAGGTCACTTTTATTAAGATCTAACTCGTTAAGAGCCTTTGCGACAGAAAATAACTTTAGTTACATTATAATCATACTGCGACCTCAATTAACATGAATTTTGTACCCAATCAAAGTAAATTACTTTTGCTGTAAATGAATATCTCCATTTTCGTACGAAGAATACTTTTTCATAAAATTGTCTCTATTTGGTGAAAGCATAAGCGATTCAACTACATATTAAATATTTTAGGAAGACTATTATGATCTTTAAATTTTGCAATACCTAAAGCTGAGAGAAACATGAAAGTGAAAAAACCGTTTTATTCGATCCGTCTATTTGCATCGACATTACGCGCATATATTACTTAACAAATCATATTTTTTATTTTAGCGATAAGTGCTTTGATTCATAGGTTTATTAATTTTTAGTATGACTTGATTTTTGAATATTTTTTTTATCATTTTGACATTTGGGAGAGGGGGACAGTACATGGAGTACCTTCTAGTCACATAAGCTTATTATAAGTCTTTAATATGCGGCTCAAAATTCAAATAAAGGATGGATAGGTAGCGATATTGCTTTGAATAGGATCGCTGACCAAGATGGTCGAATTAGTAGTAATGTGAGTGCATTAAGAAAAACGTAGATCGATGCCATTTTACTTTGTACTAAGAATACTAATTCCTGCAAATCTTAAGGTAAGTTTAACGAGGCCAAAGTCAACATTCTTGTCAGCCAGCACAAAAGCACTCACAGGCATATGTATCGGTTTGGGCTAGTAACTAGGACCCCCGATATTTCCATTAACAAACCCATAATGGTTTAGTTAAATGTTATCATTGTTCAAAATAACCTATCCCCTTTGCTTTCCAGGTAGAATGTGTTAATTCAATCACTTAAAAATCCAATATCGCTATTTCAATAAAAACAATCCAATTAGAGCATTCAGTTATTAGAGTTGGAACTCGATGATAAGTGGTAAATTAATTACTCTCCCAACATCTAAGACTCTTAGAGCATGTTATTTAAATGCCTTATTACGCTGTTATAGTCCTATGGACCAAAAGAGGACCCTGGTACTGTTGTCACTCACACAAATTTAATCAATGGGAATCGTGCCAATTAATGCACAGCCGAATAACATCAATTTGATGTGTAGAATTTCGGTAAGTAAAAAGGAAACGAGGGTGCAATTAGCACTCAATTACTGAAGCAGGGATCAATAGAGATTTAATGAAAACACTTTGTTTCTCTGTTCTCAGAGAACTTCAGAAGGCAGGTAAGAAATCCTATAAATTGTTCAAAAGCAATGGAATTTTCTTAAGAAGAGAGCCATACTAATGTTCAGAAGCTCATTTTCAACTATCTGTAAACTGCATTGAAATCCCAGGTTGCCGCTTAGGCGTCCATTATGGAAAGTAAAATGGTTTATGGAAATAAATTCTGCAAATATTTTTTTTGCCGTCTTCCATCGCTAAACTGGTAAAACATCGGGCACTCAATCCACCCCCCCCCCTAGTACAATCAATTTATTTATAATTTGGACATCTAAAGAGATGAGATGCGCTAGGCTTACTTAAAATGAACTGTCTATATTTTAGACTCTCATAATTTCAAAGTAAACCACACGGGATTGGATGAAATAATGTCAGCGAGTTCCCATCGCATTCTCCACACCCCCGTGTTTCGGACAAACAGTCAATTTTTGACGAGGCCTAACCTTACCACGCGTGTGTTCCTCTGGCATTGTTGCAATTTTGCTATAAGCGTCATAGACACTGAGTCACTTATCATAGTACGGCAATGTTACTAAAACAGATTAATATGATAAAGCCAAGAGGAATTTATGGGTGTAAGATCGATTTGCACTCTGAACCCATGTTAACCAGGGTGGTTCCAAATTGAGCTGATGAGATGTCTGCCTTAGTCAACTTTTAACTCCCCAGTGTCTTCGATGATTTACAGGGGAATAATAATCAAATATATAAGATTGAGCGTAAGGTCAAATGAGCATATAAAGACGGGGATTATCGACAGTTACATGGGCAATAATAATACCTAACTGAAGTAGACAAATGGTACTACAATCTCACCTCATTAAGTAGGCATCTATAAATTGGTCCTTACAAAAGCTTATTAAGAAACGTTCAAGCCTGTTGTAAATAGGCTTTTTAAAAGAAGATAATTCCTATGATAATTTTGCTCTATTGCTATTTGTTGTCCCAACATCTCCAGTGTGTTTTTTTCCTTTAGAGACCAAGAAAGCGAATTGGTAAGACATTGGGGGAGAAAATGGGTCCGGTGAAAACATTTTAAAGGTCCAGAATTCACCCTAATATATTCATAATGAGTTCTCTCACCCAAATATAAAATATTAGAATGAACTTGAAGAATTACTCTCCTAATGGCTCTGTTAAGTAATTTTCCAAGCACAAATATGCAAAAAAAATTTTGAATTTGAACGATTAGCCAAGCTCTGTACAATCACTGGATTTTGTCACCGAATTGACGATTTTAAGTTATTTAATTCTCCTTTCGGCTATTGTTGTTCCATAAGATTTGATATAGGAAAATTTTCCCAGATGTTAGACTTGTGAACTACCACTTAACCGTTTTTGAGCAATCCAACAAAATATTCTTCTTCAAAATATTAACTCCTTTTATCTCTCTGTCACCTTTACGCCACACTGAACTACCTGAGTTCAGCTTCTTTCCGATTAATGCAAAATGGATCGTTTTTTCTACCCTGTTTTGGGTTAAGTGAAACAATTTATTAACAAATTTTTTACTAATGCAAATCTAATGAATTAGGCAATATCAGCATTATATAAAAATTACCCCCTCCCCTACGTGACACTGTCTTCGACAAACAGAAAGGAAATTAGTATTTTTTTAAACAAATGAAGGCATGGCATTTCTTTCCTACCTTGCTTCCTGCTTTGTGTTATGACAACCACACTGTGTTATTGCAATTATGGCTCAATAAATTTTATTAGGTAATAAATTAACTAACACACCACGCCTAGACATTTATTAAGCTGGGCAATATTCGCCTAAGCGGAAAGCCGGAGTTGGGTAGCTAAACGGCGGCAATTTTTCATCAGTTAAATACTTAGAACAGTTAATGGGCTGGAATTTAATTAGACAATTGCTGTAGAAGGTAAGGAGAGTCCTAGATGAGCATATTTTTCTTAGGGTCAACAAATTGAATAAAAGTATTTAGATATGCTTCTAACTTCTATATTATTCCTACCCAAGTTCGAGGAGAATTCTTCTTAGTGGTATAGAGAAATTGGCAAAACTTTCAACGTGGAAATAGGGAAGAGGAGGATTGTCAAGAAGTTCGAAAGAGTGCTCTATTTAAACTGGGTTCTAAGAGCTTCAGTTAGAGGACACAGTTCATTTATTCGTAGTATAATGTTCAATAGGTTAAATTTGAGAATAAGCATAAATTCATATCTACAATACTTAGGATCTATTTAACAGCTGATTGACTGTAATGGTGCTTCAATACACTGATTTTCATCTTTCAGCTAAGATACTGACAGAGAGTACTCGTGAAAATTATTTAAATAGTTCACACTTTGAAACCTACGTAACAACAGTTCACAAGTTTGACGTTAATGCCAAACAGCTTCATTTTGCGTAAAAAATAAAATGTTAAAATTATATTTTTAAATAAAATTCCGCATTGACAAATTAGCTAAATACACTTAAATGTAACAATTTGCATTAATTGATTCAGGAACCTTTTTAAATTAAAATAATGTTTTAGCCAAAGAGTACTAACTTAATTTTGAAGAAAACCACTGTTTTCTTTCAATCGAGCTCTTAATTAAAAGAAAAAGGTAATATATGAGAATTAAAACAGTTTCAACTAGGTTTGAATAATGATTAAAATATCACCTTGAACTAAGCAAAAGAATGAATGGTACTGAAGGTCTACCTAAATCGTGGTTCCATTCATCTTTGCGAAAAAAATCTGGTAGAAGGAGGTAGTTTATAGCTTGAAGAAATGTGCCTTTTATTTCCAACAAGTTTCGATTGAGAATCAAGTCATGACTATCCTCTCAACTGGTATTTGAATAAACATGGTTGTGAGTATAATCCCCCACCCACAAATGAAGTCACATTGTATTGTAAAGATGGCATTACCGAATGATGCTGATCTAAAGTACGAGTCAAAATTGGGCTTAGTTAATCGACCATGAAATAGGCGTCACAACGATGCATGCCTATGAATGTCCTTTTAGTTAAATTCCCGAAATGGACATTAAAAGCTCATTTGAATAGTCACTCAACTTAAATATGCTCATTTTAACTGTTACAGCATCATTTAAAACTCTTTGTTTGTACTTTATTTAAACTGTAAATCATTTTACATATTGATTATTTAGAACTATTTTGAAATAGACTGTTTGCGAAGCGAATGCTGAGTGACAAATTGACACTTTATGTTTCTAAATAAACAATAACAAAAGTGCAATAAAAATCATTTGAAGTTGACAGTTAATCATAGAAACAACTTGGCCGATAACAATCTATAACTTGATCTATCCATTTTAAAGCATTCTCATAACAAAATAGAATGGTAATTTATAAATGGAAGTTTGTAAGCAGTGTAAATCTGTGTCGATCACATTCTTAATGGACACATGAAACCCTCTTTGAATATTACTACTACTTGACTCCAGAGTTGACCTTGTCAATGTCCTCTTCCGCTCTCTAATGTTCTCAATATCTCGTTTCATTCGATGCCAATACCATTTTACTATGAATGGAATGGCTTCTGAGACATTCACCTGAACCTTCTTAGGGAGATGGATCTCAACACTTGGTGTTTCATCCAGCAGAAATACAGATTAGGGAACATAATTTGATTCAGATAAGTTTTCTAAACTTACGAACTCGTTTTTTGTGAGTCTCGTCAGCAGAAGTGGGATGGTCCCTCAAGGATGAGAAATATTTCCAAACGATAGGTAATTCATTTCTTCTGTCCACTGTGTGGAGCCTGCCTATCTTGGAAAACTTATTACATTTATTCATTTCAAATGGCAGGCGTTTTGATAATTATCACTTGTCATTTATCTGACTTCGGACTTCACAGAGGGGTGGAACATCATAGTGAGAAAAATTCGAGAGGGGAAATGGGAATGATTTACAGATGTAAAAAGACAGATGGACACAAATGCAGAGAGAAGGTAAGATGGGTACTGTTAAAGTGGTCGAATTTGGCATACAGTGGGGTGATGGTAGTTTGAGATCAGAAGTTAACTGCCGGTTTCCAAAAATTTTTGCAGTATGAGTATACGTTGCCCAGGGTGCATCACGTGGAGGTAAGTCTATCGCGCATCCCAACTTGTTACATAAACGCCAGCTCAATGTTTTTTCCTGAACCTTCAATCAATACCAACAAAAGACTGATGCCAATGACCCGTGGTGGAATGCATGTGCATTTCCATTATCATTGCCAAGTTTGAACACTTATTCACTCTTCTACGACTCAAACACTTAGACCTTCCATTCATTTTGATTGACTCACTGTTCATAACCTTGAAATAACTTCTTTTGGATTTTAATAAATCTTTTTTACTTCTTCTGGCAGGGGTATTAACTTGTATTCCGTAACAAATACAAATTCCAAAGAAGTAAGCAAATTATTGCCCACTATTAATACTACTCATGTGTTGTAGAAATACCTCAATCTGCCTTTATCTAAAGTGTTAAGATGAACCAGCATGATAGCAACTATGATATGGGGATATGCCATTTTTTACTCACCAATCTTTGATACGTGTCGTTCAAGTTCGAAGGAACTCAACTCATGCGAATGTTCAACATATTAAAGAGAAATAAGACCAAAATGGTAAGCAGCACAAGGAACGTCAGCACAATTAATTATAAATTTTTGTTCAAAATCAATTTGAAAATTGATAAATATGTGCAATATTAACTGAATTCCAAGTGCGGATTAATTAAAAGATTCTGCGTTATAAAATACATGCAAATATATGTGATGATAACAGTTCCATTAGGTTAATGTATTCCACTTAAAGCCCAGTTTGGGACTCAAATCTCATGGATAAATGAAAATAAGGTAAAGAAGAGTCTGATAATTGAATTCGGAACACAATAAAGGAAGTGCGAAATAAGGGGGAGATAATGCATTTTATTTCAAGTTCATCTTTTTTTTACTTGTCAGACATTTGGCGTTGCACACGGAGCATCATCTTCAACTCGTCTGTATAAATCTTTCCATCTTTATTAGCGTCCCAATCGCTAAGTATGGCGTCCTTTATACAGCGCAAGTCCTCATCATCGTAATCCTGAAATGAAAACTTGAAATATCAATTTTTCTGCCTTGAAATTCAATTTCAATTATCGACGAACGTTAGTAGAAGTCATGTTTTGCCTTTCTTTAATGATGCTAAAGGACTCCTTTAGCATCTGAGCCAAATTTGATGTAACATTTCGAGTTTATGTCATGTGATAAATAAGAAGGAGAAGTAATTAGTGAGAAAGATAATTCTTGCTGTTAGAAAAGCCATTTTCCGCCCAAATTTTATAGTCCTACTTAATGAAATGATGCTAATGTTAGTCCACTCTCAGAAAATATATGCATACTCACTCATCACAGGGGCTAATGCCACTGTATTAATAGCTTCCTTTTAATTTTAATTTATCATTTAATTTAAAATATCGAATATTTGATTAAAAGTCTTTAACTTTATTTAATATGTCAAAACGAGGCAGAGTGAATGTCTAACGCTGTTTATTAATAATTAAAGTTGCCCCAATTGAAAACCAGTAGTTAATAAAATCTATTGTCTCACCGCGCAGATAACTGAATGAGTGGCACAGCCAATAACCACATCTTAATAAAGGTATTCACCTTGCCGCAAGTTAATTTAAGTCCATAAAGTTGTACAATACGCGAAATGGAATTCACTTAAAAATATTGTGGATGGATGTAAGACAGAAACTTCGTCAAAAATCAGAACTGATTAGAATTTTACATAATTTCCATATTTATATTTTAGTTAGCGTGTTGTTAAATACATCGCGGTAGGTCACATTTCCTATCCTTGGTAGTTAATTGATGCAAATGTGAGCAATCATATAAAAATGTTTTTCAGCCAATGAATATAGTTTAACCATGAATATGAGTGACAGTTAATTAAATAAATGCATTAAAATATCTCAAAATAAAATTTATGCTTCTATTTTTATGAAGAAAGTCTGATGTTACGTTCGAACTTCATTACCCTCCGTAACGCGTTGGTTTTGAATAATGAAAATCAGCAAGGAAGGTTTTTTCCTGTCGTGCGATATTTTTATTTTAATTACCCTTCCTTTTTTCTTGAATGTGTTCCTCGAATATGGCAAATCAAAACGAACTCAATTACTTACCTTTTTAATTAAAAAAACCCCTGGAAACCACCTGTCGAGATGAGCTTCAGAAAGAGTTTTTAATATGCATCAGGACATGGAGGTCATATGGACATTAGTAATAGCGACACACGTATTGTAAGTTACCAAAACAATTGTATGTAACTTAACTATCAATTGGATAAGTCTTGGGAATATTGAATGAACATTCATTATATATTCATTCAATTAATAAGGATTCATTTTCTCATATTTTAGACTAAAATCATGATTCAGTTTTTCACTTGAAACCATATGATCTAGTCTTCTGATCAAATCTACCTTCAGATTATGTCAGTTGGAAACCAGAAAGCTTCTAACTAGGAAGTGCATTCGTTGTTGAAGTAATAATGAGGCTCAAAAGAGTGAATATGAAGTCTGCCTTTTAAATAGTAGCAATTAAAAATGAACGGATTTGTTCGTATTTAGAAGTCGAGATTATTCTCAGCAATTCACTTCATAATTGCAAGAAATGTTAGCTTGAGGATGATAAATTAGAGACCGTTTTAAGAAAGTGATTCTTAATTAATATTCACTACTAACTCTTGGGAGGCACCCATTCGTAGGTGGCTTGAGAAGCGTATAAACAAATCGAATTAGTAAATAAAATGAATTAACTCACGTCTTGTGTTAGTTCAAGCAGGTCTTTGAAAAAAGCTGCTAGCTCTTCGTCTTGCATGTAACCGTTTTGATCCTCAAGATAAGAGAAATTTTTTTATGTCAGTACTTTCTTAACGTCATCTTTATTCAAAACTAGTATTATTAATTTCAACATAATACATCAGAAAAAATAAAAAAATGACGTATTATTTGATATTGAGCGATCTTATCATTATATAGACTAGCGATGAGCCCTATTTCATGAAATTAAAGTGTAGACTATAAGGACAAATGTATGGACTTAGATATTCTATCCTTTTATTGATAGATATGGTTATGTTTAGCAATTTTACTAAATCATTATTTAGGCAGCTTGCCAAGTCGGAAGATCGTATAAATTTAAGTAAAAATTATCTCTTACTTTAATTTAAATTGGAAAATTTTGTTAGTGTAGAAAATGGTTTGAATCGTTTTCAACCAAATGACTGGAAATAAAATGAATTAACGCAATTCCCTTCATCGACAAAAATCAACTTTCCAAATAGAAAAACGTATCTCACACACATCGCCGGCTATTTTTCGAATTCTTCGTTTTAATTAATACAATTTAACCTCATCTGAAAATTTTGTTATTAAGCAGCATTCACTCAATAGATTTTAAATTCTAAACGGTCCAAAAGGTTGACAAATTGCAGTATTGAGTTTGAATCAGTAGTAAAATATTAAATTTTATTCGATGCTCAGCACTAATATCTTGCATATCTGCAATTTGGGCCGACAAAATCTGAAAAATGGCTAGCCTGAACACGGTTGAAAGTCATAACACAATGAATGAATATTAGAAATCGGCAATAGGAGGAATTTAAAAGAAATTGAAAACTTTGACGAAATCAAATAGTCATAGACATAAAAATTAAAAATGGGCAAATTAGTAAGGGAGTTAAATTAGGAGACTACAATGGGACTTGACTTTGATTTAAAAAAATGGTTTGAAGAGCTGACTAAACTATTTATTGCCAGTTATCATTGCATCTACGCAAGTTGTACTGCAAGCAGCCAAGGTGCTTTTGAGTTGTTGTGATGGGGTATAATTGCGAATTAGCTATACCTATCCAGAATATTATTTATTAACTACTTATACTAAATGTTTAGCTTCCTGAAAGCAAAGTAACTATTGATTCGTAGATTTTATTTAGAAGTGATTTTAGCTTTCCATCAATAAAGAACCAGATTTAATGATTGCGTATAAAACACCTGCCCCAATTTGTCAGACACAACAATCTATAAAGGGGGTTGATATCTACAGTCGTGGCTTTGACGTGAAAGTAGACCACATTAAAATTATTATGACATAACAGGGAGTGACTCTGTAACGTGGTGGAAAACGGTTATATGGAACAACAACTGTATTAAGTCCCAATGAAAGAGCTTTAGAGTAGATAAAGAGGAACCTGATTAATCATTTTTAAATCATAATTATGCATAGCAAGGACCACAACATTTCGTACACTTAAAAAAATATTACAATTATTGGTAAAATAATTGCTTTTTCGTCTAATAAACATGCAAAGATCAGTAAATCATTTTATTAATTTTTTAAGCCTTAATGTAAATTTGCATGACGTTTATTTGAGATTTGTTTGCTTTCCAATTTTGCCTCTCCTTCTTAAATTAAGTCTTCGGTAGTTTAGTTAACATCAATGGGTCACATGCAAGATGATAAGCAAAGGAAAGCATGGGAGACATCACTTTTTCCCCTCAAGGATAATTAGTCTTTTGGTCAATGATAAGCCGGAGGCAAATTTGATGCGAAAGTTGGGGGAGATTAGGGCGGTTGGAAGAGGGGATTCTATTGGGCGACAGCCAGGATTACCTGATCATAATAGCTGAATACTCGATCAATATCATCGTCGGTTATTTTCTCCGCACTTTTGAAAAAGGGCTTACGAAGAAAATTTTCCTTAACTGGAACAAGTCTGAAAGTGCGAAGAGATATAACTGTTGGAGGCATTTTCGCCCTTCAACAAATAATACTAAACAAATAAAAGTAAATTTTTACCTTGCCATCTCGCTAAGTTGAAGCTTTTTGTCTTTATTCTTATCAAATATTCGAAGCTGAAAGAATTAAACTAACTTGTTTAAATATTTAATATTTTGTTTCAAATTTTAACAAAAGGCAACTCACGATATTATCGGTATATTCAATCAATTTATCTTCAGAAATGGTGTTTCCTTTCGGAGATTGCTTGAAGAGCTCCTTGAGAAAATCTTTCAATTCATCCGCTTCTATATAGCCGCTCTTATCTTTATCGAATACTTTCCACACCTGAAGGGAAACAAATAGGTTTTACCTATTTGCCTTTAGATAAATGACAGCTAATGAGCTTTGCGACTTGTCGAATACATTTATTCCACATCATATTCTATGTCCATCTCACCTATTAAATATTCTCCATGCATTATATGATAGCCTGTAACCTTATTATTACAGATTGCGTTGGGAAGATCAGCACCTAATATTTCACTTTGAATGTTTATGAAAAGTACGAAGTATACGAGAACAAATGTTTATTTTATGGTATTGGAAGTAATGTAACTAATTATAAATGACAATAAATTGCATTAATTCTTAATTGCATTAGTTTTATAAACCTTATAGGTGGCAATCAATGCATTCAAATAAACAGTTTAAAGATGAATTGCAAATAAAAAGTACAATTTTATCTTTGCGAATTAAGAATTGATAACATATAACCTCCCTGATTAAATTCATACATATTTAACTTGATTAAGGCTGTCAAAATAAGAGTTAATAGGTGGCCTTTAGCAATGAAATATATTATTTAAATGTCATCGTAAGTACTTGGAATTTACCCTAAATATTTTATTAAGGTGGGGTGTGCGATAGACTTACCTCCACGTGGTGCACCCTGGGCAACGTATACTCATACGGCAAAAAAGCCTTTTACCTGGCTGTTGACTTCTCACTTCAAACTACCATGACCCCATTACACTTCATATTCGAATAATCCCACAATATTCACCCCACCTTTTTTCTACCTTTGTGTCTGTCTGTCTCTTTTACGTCTGTGAATCATTATTTTGTCCCCCTCTCGACTTTTTGCCACCTTGATGTTCCTCTTCCTTTCTGTGAAGCCCGAAGTCAACTAAAGGGCTAATGATACCTATCATAACGCCTGCCATTTGAAATTAATTTTTATTAAGGTAGCTTTATTTGTGCATCTTTAATTGACGTCAGCCAATTCTATAAAATAATACAATTATGTGATCATGATATCCAACACTTAGTGGATTTGCAAAATTTGTAACTTTCAGTTTAAGAACTTATTAATATGATTGACTGCAATGCCTCAAATTAAGCACACCTTTAAAACAAAGTAGCATTGCTTGAATTTCAACATTTATTTAGAAATCTTTAATTTCAGATCCTTGTAAACGTACTATTAAAATTAATTAATAACTGTGGGTTTTAAAAGAGTTACTCCAATTTAACAAAAAATACTGTTTATTTCGACATTTTTAAGCGAATGCGATTCAGTATCCATTCAATAAAATGTTCTGAATAGAGAGAGGATTTAAAAGCACAATTATCCATAAGCATAAAAAATTGGCAAGCAACATTTACTTAGGCAGACACTATTTAATTTATAATTTTATTAATCCATTGAAAATAATTATAAATGTGATATAAATAATAATCATCAGGCATGCCAAAATGAGTGGGCTGGCTGTATTTAATCAATAGAAAGGAAATGTAAAAAATGGGGTGTTTTTGTCTAGATAACACAGGTTTAGTAAAATATTAGGCAAGAAAATTACTGACTTACTCGCATAAAATCGACACTGGATTGTACAAAATGTTCCCGAAAAAATAGAAAGATGAATTCTTCCTCCGTTGGCAAAAGTTGAGCTAACTGGTAAATTTAACAGAATAAATGAGATCAAACTAAGATAACTTGAATTTCATTTGGAAAAAAATATGCCTTAAAGAAAGAAAATCTAGAATTTGAGTACCTGTAAAATCTTAAAAATTAATTGTGGACTCTGAACAAATAAAAACTTTGACTATCAAACTGAATACAAAACCAGGTCCTTGATAATTTGTTCGTTTACCTGCGAATTTGCATTTGATTAATTAAGAAATATATTCCAGTGAGGCAAGAAATGTTTTCTTTATTAGAGGAAAATGTTACTTTTCTGGTTAATCTTGGATGCTTCAGTCATGTATGAAAAGTGAATTAATTCTAAAACTTTCAAGTAAAGACAACCCAGAATTCTAATCGGGCAGACAAATGCAATTATAGGAAAAATAAGATAATTTTGAGTTACAATGGTAGAAATTTCGTGTTTTCTCATAGTCTTTATATTGATTTAAAGGAAGTAAAAATGACTACTCCTTAACGGGTTCAGTTAGAAAGGCTGGTAAACCCAAGTTCTAACGAATTATGTCTTTAGGTTTCTAAACTATTTCAAAGCGAAGTGTTTTTAAAAAAGGTGAAAGATGTCTCTTTCTCTTTCAGTTGCCAAATTAAAAGATTGACCTATGACAATGAAAATTAAATAGCTGTCAGTGGAATTTTCCTGAATGCGAAATCTTTATTATAATTTCTCAGATCTCATCAAGTTAAGACCATCTATGCTGATCTTAACCTTTGGTTAAAAATCTTACCTTAATGAGTAAATATCTCATCAAATGTATTTTTAAAAGTGTTATTTTTCCTGATTAATGATTTGGTGACAATGAAAAATTAAGCCTATTCGTAAACAATTGCATATTCTGTTTTGGAAAAGATTAATGGACATATATTTACATCTCCATTTTGTTTATAGATCAATTAAAAGCTTTTGTACATTATGCATTACTATAAAACTAGTCTGCCTGTACTATCGAATTTATGTTGCTTGGATAATCATTAAAAATACCTCAAATACACGAAAAATAGATTGTTAATTAACTTGCTATAAAGAGCAGGAGATAATTTCATCAAATGTTTTACTGATATCATCATATTTATCATAATTTTTCATGAAAACACTAAATTAAACAAGTCGTATAATCTTAAAAAATCAACATTAGAAACATTAAAACAATGTATATGGTTGTGATTTTGGTATTATTTAAATGAATGAATTTTGTTGAAAGGTGGGTAAAAAGTAACATTACTATTGGACGAAGATTCAAATAAAGTAAACAGAACCTCGGCTATGTCAATTTTATCGTCCTCATTCTTATCCAAACTTTGTCGAAGTTCAGCAATCAGTTGATCCATTTCTTCTTTCAACATTCTCTGATGTACAAATGAAAAATTCATTATGTACTTTTTCGCATTTCGGAAACGTAAACAGAGGTACTGAAATAAAATTATGCAAATACCTTTTTAAGTTCGGCGGGCACAATAGCTTCAAGAAGCTCAGAGAAGAATAAGCGCATTTCATCTCCTTCAATGAATCCATTTCCTGAAAGTGAAGTAGATTCAAGTGAAAATTGTCTATTAATAAAATTTAAGTTGGCACAAACGTGCACAGTACTCGAGGCAGAATAATCACACTGAAGTGGAAAAAGGGTTAATCCTTACCGAAAAGGACGGAAATGGCTTTTACATGCATGCATTTTGCCAAGATAGTCATGTGTATATTCTAACGATAATTACAATGAAGGCCCATAAAAGTACACAGGATTTCTACTAGCTTTTGACTATCTAGTTTAATGTGATTCGCAGCAACTGTAAGTGTTGAAGATGTAGTGCCTTTTTATGATATTTTTGGCTTTCATCTGTTAATCTAAATCAATTACAATCAGTAGTTAAAACAGATTTACATTGGATTCAATATTAATAATCTTTAAAATTGAATTCTGCTGCATTTTGCCTTTGATGCGCATTCTAGCTTGCTCATGGAACATTTATCACTGCTGAATTTTCTCTATCACTATGAGGAGATAACATGAATTTTTAGTTAAATAAAGTTAATAATTTTACATAATTCTAGATCCTAATTTGAAGGATAACTAGCTACCTTTAATTGATTCATGAATTAGAAAACAAAGAATAAAACCTGTAATTATTTCAGTTTTTGTAGAAAATTAAATTTCTTTCACCATAATTGCCAAAATTGGCATATTCCCATGCTCAAATAGATTGCTCAATTCTGCTTTTGACCATTTGTGCAACATTATGGTTTCATAGTTGCCAAACTATTTGACTGCATGAAAATAAATGAAATCTAACTTACATAATTGACATAATTTATTTTAAATTTTCGATTCATACCAAGCTCTCCCAATATGAATTTTTACCTGTATCAATATAAGTTAATAAACTCTATGTAAGCAAATTCATGTTAATCATTCAAGAAGGTCAAATTGAAGCGGCGTGACTTATTCATCATGATTTATATTTCCAAATGAGGAGCAGAAAAATCTGGACATCAAAACAGAAACTGCGCACCTAGGAAACAACGCACGAGCTAAGATTGACATTTTAAGACCTTGAAGTCACCTTCGGTACCCTTTCAATCAATTATTTTGAAATTTTATTGTTCGATGACAGGATTGCTTAAGTTTACCGATAATTTTCTAGTAGAGGGTAAATTTGGAACTCAAACATTTTAAAGATATTCTTTCTTACCCATTGATCTATACACATTTAATCCTAGGATTATCCAGTGCCATTAATAAAGAATTTAATTAAATATTCATCTAATTATTATCTAATAGATATACAAACTTGTTTTAGATATTGCCTATGGGGATTTATTTGACAATAATAATTTTTGGGTTTTCAATGTTTATTCTATTTTAAAATAAAATCAATAGCTAACATTATGAATCAAGGGGAAAGGATATATATTTATCAGATGTTCTGACCATATTGAGAATATGTTAATTTTTTAATGCAACTGATTTTCCAATTATGAAATTAAATTATTCGATTATCAACACCCCATATTTTAAGTAAATAATCAATAGTAAGAAGTATCATGAAAGTGAACTGATCCAGCGATCCAGGAAACGAATGAAGAAATTTAGTTTTCTAAGTATGAATTATTTATTAACTAAATTATATTAGACTTGAAACCAACAAGAGGTAAACTTGAGATCAAAGATACCTTAATTTTACGTTTATTGTAATTACCCAAAATAAATTTTTGTTACTCCTCCAATTAAAGAATATGTGATGTTTCTGTCGTGAGGTATTTAATAGTAAAAACAATTTACTAAGGTCTTAAGCGTACCATCTCGGTCATATCGAAGCCAGACATCAGCGAATTGGTCCGCAGAAACATGTCGAAATTTAAGTTCTTTCTCATCAAAGTATTCCTTGAGAAGATTGTTTTGTTGAACCTGTGGAGGGTTTTCTTTGAGCATAGGTTTGCTTGCCGCCATGACTGTGGCAATTATGCTCACTGCACTGTGCTTGTGTTTCTCCTTTTTCCTCAATCTAATCGGCCAAAAGCCAAACAGTTGGGAGCGAACGTTCGCACTCCACACTACGCCTCCAGTAATAGAACTGCGCGCGTGGGCTCATTTAGTCCTTGTTAATCCTCGGGTTGAGTACACGATAATACTGGGCGGTCAAATTGTTAATAAAATGCTCTTTTAATACATTAATGCAAAATCTATTCAAATTTTCATTTTCAACTTTTATAAGGATTTTGTATTGATTCTATGGAGATGTTTTTTTTTATTTTTTTGCAAAGAAAGATTCTTTTTAATTTTGTTGAAGAAAAGAGACTATTTCATATCAATTCATCGAAAAATATTTCCACATTGCAATTATTATTACAGGCTTTCATTCATTAGGGGCTAGGTGGAAGTAAATACAGGGGTAAAATTAAGTAATCTCTTCGAAAACTGTGAATGTTATTTAAAAGTTGAGCTTTCTTTTTGAAAAAAAAATACGAAAATGCTTTCAGTAATTTTAAACACTTGACATCAATATTTGACTCTACTCTTTAGCTAAAAGTGGCAGCCAAATATATATATATATATGAAGAAAAATTTTTCAAGTTATTGCTTAACAATGGGCAAGAATTAACGAATACATGTTGATCATTTAATAAGAATGTATTTTTTATTAATTGAGTTAGTTCGAGAGAGAATACAGCAAGAAACATTGCTTGCCTTGTGAGGAAAAGCTAATCATTTTTTGTAGTCAAAATGGATTGTTTGTCTCTTTTTTTCATGAAACTTCTTCCCACTCGTATTATTATTAACAATCAACATTATAACTTCTTCTAACTTGCTTATTACATTAGACTAGAGGGGAGTGGTATTATATAATGAATGTGAATTTAATCAAATTTTTGGTGGGAAAAATAGATCAAGTCGCATTACGTCAAACAATAAAAGGAAAAAATTGAAGGATATGTTGGAAGTTATCTTGTTTTAGAATACATAGTTCCTCATGACTCTGAGATTAAAATTTATTCACAAAATTAATAAAATGGTTTATCAATGAGATCACTGAACACTGGCCAATGCGTGAGCCTGCCAACTCAAAGCTAAGAAGATTGTTTTTAATTGTTCAATCAACTGTAATGTTGCATCGCTTATTTGCACCGGGCACTGATAAGTTACAATTTTCATCATGAAACGATCAAAAGGTTCACGTGCATAGAAGATTGAGTCAAAAGATTATGAAGGATTATGTTAATTGATCACTTCAATTTAATGGTGTGCTTTATACTTCTAATATATAGTCTAACGTATCGCCTTTGAAAATGCCTATTCTCCAATATTAGTTTTTTTAAACCTTTCATTCTTTGTCAGCCTTATCATATCAGGGTTTACTCAATTTAAATTAGAATAAATTTATTTTACATTGAAAGCCGTTTAAATTGAACTGGCTTCAGATGATTACAAGCGTTCGTAACTAGTGCAAAACAGGTTTATTATTTGTAATAATTACATTTTAACGAATGCTGTTTAGTTTTCTCTACTCATGCTATTAGACATCGAAACTAGAGTTTGTTTTAGTAGTTTTTAGATTGTGGAATTCGTCGCTTTCAAAAATTATTTGAATTCAATTATTTGTTTACTAACTAATAGTACAAAAAACGGTTTAATTTCCCTTCATAATTACATCAATCCGAGCCGAAATATTACATTGCATATAACGGTTAAATTCGGGTCATTTTATTGACCGCTAACTGAAATTGTCACTAAAATAATTAATTTAACTAAGTTAAAAAGTCAGATTATTCTGCGCATAATAAAGAACCATTTATTAAATTGATAGCCTTTGGACCGTCGAGATGCCTTTTAAGCGTCCGAAACAAACCGACCAATGGGGAAATGGACATAGTTGATAGAGCAAGTGAGGGAGAGAGAGTTTATTATATGAACTCGAGGCATAAATAGACAGAGTAAAAAATCGAACACCTTTACTACTGAAAATGAAATAAAATGTGGCTTGGGGACTAAAACGAATATTTCTACTGAATGATGAATGCAATTTATGGGATTTATTGCATTATGGAAGAAGTTCAAAAGCGGTTAGTAAAAACTTTTTCAAAATATTGAACAACTTGCTTCTATTCCGCCCATGATCAAACATATTAAGAGTCTAGCTAATGGTTTTGTTTAAGTGATGAAATATATTTTTCAAATATAAAACCATACAAAATAAAAAAGGTTTGTATCTAAATTCAGTTAACAAAACCGCCAGTTAAACATTTAACAGCCAAATGAATAACCTTAAAATAGAACCATTTTACGCTGCAAACTAGTATCAATTTTTAATTTACACGCCATAATGAAATTAAATAAATCTTAATTATTAATAACAGCTTGTTTTATAAAATTTATTTATTTATTTCGAATTGTGGGCTTTATGACACGTATCATTAGCCCTTTAGCTAGCTTCGTGGTTCACAGAGAGGAGGAGTATTAAAGTGAGAAAAAGTGGCGTTGGGGAACAGAAGAGTGATTCAAAAATGTTAAAGAAACGGACAGACTGACACAAAGGCAGAAAAAAGGTAAGATTAGTACGGTGGAATGGGCGAATTTGACATATAGTGGGGTCATGGCAATTTGAAGTCAGAAGTCAATAACCGGTTTATAGACTTTTTTGCCCATGAGAATATGTTGCCCAGGGTTCCCCACGTGGAGGTGAATCAATCGCACCCCCTGTGTTATAAGTTCCAGAATTGGAAAAATGAAACTAGCGGTTATGCTCTAATCGTTGATATTTAATGTTAGCGGGGGGAGGGGGGCAAATTGATTTGCAATTTACTTCTTGATCATGTCCTTAGAATTATTAGACAGAAATTCCTTCTGAAAGTAATTAAAGAAGAAAAGTTGAAAACGAAAACAAGATAAATTTTGAAATAAACTAGTGCGAAATATAACTGCATGTACTTTAGTATATTATTTCATTTTAATTTAGAATATACAATGTTACATACTATTTACTTAATTACAACTGTTAAATAAGCCAGTCATAAATTTAGAATTTTAAATGAAAGATTTGGTAGCTATCTTTTTTTCTCAAGCCAAGCAGAAAAGAGTAGAATTTGCTCAAATAGAAGAAAGTCAATGAAAAATCAATAGCTATTTTAAATAGGGCAGTTCATTTTCCTTTGCTCGATACACAATTTATGTAAATTATTTGATGTGCAGTAGAATTGATCAAAGCAATGGTGCTTTTCTCCTTTTAACAGGGTTAGTGAAATTTAAACTATGTCATATTGGCAATGAATGGTGTTGATTTCACATCAAATAAAAGCATAAAATATTAAAAATAGTCGAAGATTAAGTGATAAAGGCAAATTATATTGAAATTCATGTTAGTATTTACCTCGATATCATGGGATCAAATATTAATTTTGTTGTTATTTCAAATGAACTAGTATATCATATCAAACCTAGGAAACTAAAATTAGCATTGTACGATCATATGAAGGATTATTATGTTCCATCATATGGAATAACTATTTTATTTTTTACCTTCACATCTCATTGGTCATTTTCCAAGGCAATATTTGTGTAAACGCCAATTGCTAGAAGTAAAATTACATAAAGTGACATTTATATCACGAATCAGTTCAATATTCTTTTAACAGGATGAACTTTTCTCCAATCTCATGGAAGATGGATAATAACAATGTCATAAAAGTACATAATTCTTTTAATAACAGAATTTTAAAAAAAATTCATCCATATTTAATGATTGATTTTCCTAAAAGTGCATAATTATTTTGTATACCTGTGAGCAACTTTAAGGGTATTATTTAAATGATATTAATATTGTGCATTTCAAGGACATTGCTTAAATAATAATTTTTAATTTGCCCTCACAGTGTATTTGGAACAGAGGCACTTTAATAAATAAAAATTCAATGAGTAATCCAAAATATATTGTATTTCCTGTCTTTAAGTTCAGGAATGCTACCATTAATTAGAGTTCAAAATAAATGAATATCTGATTTCCTGGAGGTTTTCATAATGATGTGAGACCATACGAATTTGCATGTATGTAATTAACAGATCTCGTAAAATTTATATTTATTTCAAATGGCAGGCTTTATGATATTTATCATTAGCCCTTAATCTTTGACTTCAGCTTCCCCCAAGAGGGGGGGGGGTACATTTATAGCAGTTAATTAATAGCAGTTCATTAGCAGTCTTCTTGCTTCCCAGT